TTTCATCACGAAATCTGTTTCAGATGAAGCCGTTCCAGAGAAAAGTCTTCGCCCGTCCAGGCGTTTGCGGCGAACAGGGGTCTGTTTGCCACCATTTTGTGACGTCAATAATGTCTTTTTTTATGTCGAAAAAAATTTATTTGTAAACTTTAATGTTCAATAAACAAGAATCCCAAAGAGTTAGGCGCATTACTATTCATTTTCCTTGGAAAAAAATTAATTGAAAAACAGGCCGAAAAAAGGCAAAAGATTGGGAATACCCCCTTAAATGGGATATTTTCAACAATATAATTTACGCTAGTGTTTGTGAGACCGCTCGGCGAGAACCTAACGCAACCAACTCAATTAGACAGCTTTCTTTCTTTAACATTGCTTAACGATGTATACGACAAAACGTGAATTCAAGTGTAAAAATGATCCCCAAAAGTTTTGTTACGCGTGTGGCAACTATATATTTACAAAATCGGTATAATTTCACAATTGGTAAAGACAACGTTAAAAATGATCCTCTTGTGGTAAAAGAACGCATAATACTTCCACCACTACATATAAAACTTGGGCTATTCAAAAATTTCGTTAAAGCGTTGCAAAAAGAAGAGCCGGCATTCCAGTACTTGAAATCAGTATTTCCAAATTTATCTGACGCAAAGATAAAGGAAGGTGTATTTGTTGGCCCACCGATCAAAAAACTGCTCAATGATTCCGCATTCAATACGGTTTTGACACCAGATGAGGAAGAAGCGTGGAAATCGTTCCAGCGTGTTGTCACAACCTTTTTAGGAAATTTCAGAAGCCCAGATTTTGAGGAAGCCGTCGATGAATTGCTCAAAAATTATGAGAAAATAGGTATAAATCAAAAATATTGTGTTTGTTACATATAATTAATTTCAAATCCTTTTATTTCACTGAACACAGGTGTGAATATGTCTTTGAAGATACATTTCCTACATTCTCACATGGATTTTTTCCAGGAAAATCTTGGTGACTAGAGTGATGAGCACGGCGAACGTTTTCACCAACAAATGAAGATGATGGAACGTCGTTACCAAGGGTTTTGGGATGAAGCAATGATGGGTGACTATTGTTGGTTTCTGATTCGAGAAACAAGTTCAAAACATCGAAGACAAAGTCATTCGATTCTCAATCATTTTTAATAAAACCTAAATAAATTTCTTTTGTATCAACTCGGTTTTAAATCCTGATATGCCTTAATCAAATTGATATGTAGAGAAAAGAATGTTCCATGAAAACTTTACATGTGATTTGGATGCTTACAACGACACCTAGGGGGCTGTCCATAAACTACGTAGACAGTTTAGGGGGGGGGGGGGGGGTTGACAATTATCCACGGCCCATACAAATTTTAAAAATGTTGTATGGACAATTGTCTACGAAGGGTAAGGGGGGGGGGGGGTCAAAAATCCCAAAAAACTGTCTACGTAGTTTATGAACAGGCCCTAGAGAAGGAACTCTAAAGCTGTTGAATTTCAGCAACATTTTTAAGCGTTTTACAAAAATGCTCATAACTTCGACAATTTCCAACCAATTTCATCCATTAAAGGCTCATTTTCTCCGGTTTTGAATGGACTTTAAGAATAAATTATGGAATGATTTTTTGAATCTTTTTATCCCATTAAAAATGTTGATTAAAACAAGATTTTTATGGAAAATCCGCAGCAAAAATAAAAAAAAATGCTGAAAATTTTTAAATGACTTCAAAATTAAATTTTTAATTAAGACATAATATTCTAGTGAACGATAGCAAATTTATTTAGCTTCATTTTAATAAAAAAAGATTTAAAGTTGGTGCACTAGTTCCAAAGATATTGACATTTTAGTAATCGTACTTTTGTCCAAAATTCAAAAAATCAAAATTTTTGTATATCTCAAAAATGGCTCTACTTTAATTTTTTCTGACCACGGCATTGAATTCAGCGTAGGATTTTGCATTGGAAATGATCATCACCTTACCGAGTTCAAAAATGCTGTAAACTAGTGTAATTAATCAAAATGTCCCAGAGATATATTGTGATGTATGTGAGATATTTGGATTTGAATCAAACAATATATTTTATTTAAACAAATGCAGCTTACATTTTTCTGTTATGTAAAATAAGGTGGGTCAAGTTTGAATAGCTCCCCAGCAGCTGTGCCAAATTGAAATGAATTTGGTTAAGATTTGTATTTGTGGGAGATCTTTAAAATTTGTGTAGTAATACCAACAATCAATACGAAACTAACGATTTTAAATTGGCTCACCACTTTAGTAGCCTATTGGTCCCAAGCAAACGATTAACGTACCCTATTCTAGTTGAAATTCTATTACTACACTATGTTTGTTTTGATTCGCTATGAAAGTTTGACAGATAACATCAGGGGTGTGTGGATTCATGCAGAACATGCAGGGGTGAGTGAAATAGCTTGGGACTGCTTGGGACCGTTGTTCTGGTACTGAGTGAGCCAAAAATAATAATGATTTTCTTCGGGACCCAGTGGTCTTAGAGTTACCTCTATGGTAATACAGTCATTCCATGGCGAAATTTCGTAAAAATTGATAGTTTTTTTGCTTATCGCAAAATATTAGGCCGGTATTTTTTTTTCAATTTTGTCAGCGAGTCGATTTCAAAGATTAAAATATCCAAGGAAAGGTAATTAAAAATAATGTTAAATGGGATTTTGCATTGAAAAACATTGATTGTTTTTGTTTTTATGGTCTTTATGGTTTGTAGACAGAGATTGCAATATGTTTTTATATTTTTCCTTAAAAATGTAGGCTTTTTACACAACATATGAAAAAATCAGCGATGTGTTTTTTTTCGTTTTTGAGTTATATTTTTTGAAGTTAGCAAGATTTGCTCAATACTCCTACGCGGCTAGACTGCCATGCGTCGTGACTATGTAACGGTCGCTATACATTAATGAAGATGCATAAAACATTCACCTGTCTGAAAAGGGCATATGACCAAAATGTAAACACATCGTTTGATACCATTATAAAGCACCGATAAATAACTACCAGTCGTATAATAATGTTCCGCATTGTCGATAAAAATCATTAAAAATAACTTCATTTTCAAAACGGCCGAACAATTAAATTTTTGGAATTCATAGGCCAAAATACTAAAACGGCCAAACATACATTGTTTCGTTCCATTAAGTTCCATCTAGTAACGAACGATGATTAAAAAATTTCAAATCAAATGTAGGCCTTACTGCTTGAGGCAGGGCCGGTGATTTGTTTTGCATTTATTTGACGTTAAGAAAAGGCTTAAAAAATGGCCTTCCATTTCTGATGACAAGCACAACGGCTTTTAAATATAGACCTAACCATTGAAAGATTCACAAAAAGGTTTTTAATTTATAAAATTAAATTGTTATTCATTTTTTTTTGGCTTTTAGAAAACTTTTCGCATAGTTTGAATGTTGTGTACTGAGATACAGTTGTTATTTTGAACAATATAAATGCCTAAAATACTTCTATTTGCTTATATAAGAATGAAATAGTGGTTGACAAATTTACTAGAGTCGGTGTATAATGAGTCACGCCAAGAGAAAAACAGTTGAACTCGCATCACGGTTTTCGAAACATTCACTTTCTTTTCACTTGGCAACAGAGGACTTCTACATCAACTTCAAATGACTTCTAGCGAGAATAAAAAATAGCGGCTGTAGTAAATCGTTATATCAGTGATTTTGTCAAATTATCTTACCAAAAAATAGTAGAAATTCGCACTACTGATCATTACCAAACGTATCCCATGGCATTTTAATGCTCACTGCGTGTTTATGATCATTTTTTCGATTATATTTTATATTTTATTGCAATACCTTTCGTGGACCTTTCAAAGCATCGTAATGTTTGTTTACTTTGCACGATAGGTAGCCGGTTTCACAGTTCAATAGGTAGACTTGGCTTCGCTCTTGGCGTGAGTCATTATACACCGACTCTAAAATTTACAAGCCATTTTCTGGTTTGTTTACATGTTTACATAGGCTCTTTTCAAATTTTACGCGAGAATTCAAATAATTAATTTTGAAACTGGATTGCATTTATAGCGTGTTATTATGATTGCATCGTTTGTTATGACACTATTTTGATGACATTTAATCTACGTTGTGTTGGAATAAATTGCAGGTCATGCTAACTTAGAATCACATCATTCAAAACAAAGACGGCCGTGTCTGAGATCTTTGCACCCTTCTTATACATTGCAATAAATTTTCTTTGGTATAGGGTTTTAATAGTACGATGTATAGGGCAATTCTCGATTAATTTTTGAATAGGTCCTATCTCCTTTCATCGATACGTACAATCTTTAATTCACTGTTTGTGTTTTCAGTTTGTTGCACTGATTGTATGTAGGTACAAACAAGCGCCCGCCGCCCACACCGAACATCTGATTTTGACAGATCGATGAACGTCGACCTTGGTTCAGTGTTGGTGGCATGCTGCCGTTCGTGAATGGAGTTCATGCGCATTACCGTGGCCGTACGGGAAAGGGAAGCACTATGTAGCACATGCTTGCTTGCCACATCTCGTCCATAAGTCAAAGTGAGAAAGAGCAACGTAAACAAAAGTCTCGGTCCTTACCGACAGGGGCACGAAGCCGGCCGAACTTGTTTTCTTTCTGTCTGACGGTGGCCTAGGCTGCCTCGTAAGAAATTTACCCATTTTTCCCGTTCTTCTTCCGTATGTTCATCGGACTGGTTTGAGTTTTATTTTTCTTCCATTTTGGCCAAACCAAATTGCATTGCAACATTCAGGTTGTGTGTTTGTGTTTTGATGTGATTATCAGTATTTTTATAGAGGAACACATAAATCAATGCAGTCGTGTTCCGGGGTTTTCATGCAATGATTCCATGTGCAATGCGCAGTTGGAAGCTTTCAGGTCTTATCTATTATGAATTGTTAGTTTACTGGGCAAACACAAAGTAAATACGTAAAACTTTTTATCGATTTTTATATAGTACACTGTAGACGTAAAAATCCCCTTACGTACCTTCTTAAGAAAGATGTAAACTAGTTTGAACGATCCCAAGGTGAAATCTTCAGCTCTGGGTAATATTTTTCCTGATGTGGCAGGAACTATTTTCAGTCTTCCTTAAGAATGATTGCACTCTGGATCTCGGCAAAAGAATTCACACACGGCATTGTCAACGTAACAATTGTACTCTGAATTTTCTATCGACACAATTTATGTGCGATTCAATCGATTTTCATGTTACAGCAATTTGGTTATGATGGAATTAATTTAATTTCAGCCAAATATCAACCTTTCCCGAGAGATCACTGAAAATCGACTGGACGAACCAAACCCGATGACAACTGAGCTGACGTTTGTCTTGACGTCAAATGAGAGAACTCGCGTAGCAACAAGAAATTGATGTATTCATGAATGAATGGAATTAATTCATACATAATTCACTGAGTTACGTTCATATATTACGTAGCGCACAAAAAGTAGACTTTGGAACACCGCCACCTCTTTTTCCTAAACATAATGCATTGCTTGTAGCACGATATCAGGCTTCCTCCTACCATATCTTGCGTTTCGTAATATCTGAACAAGCCCTGATAGGGTTGGTTTACTTGAACCCTCGTGACTGACATTGGTATACTACTGGCATACCACTGGCATTGGCATACTATACTTTAACAGTGCTGCCAATGCAACTTCGACTTAATTTCATTTGGTGAAATAGTCATTTCGAAAGGGGCTTTTGAGACAGTGGAGTAGAAGTACGTACTCGTAACTCTTGTATTAAATCAATAATTTGAGAAAAATAATGATTTTTCGAATAGCTATATAGGGTAAATGGATGTAATGTCCGCCTATATGCCACTAATTTGGGTTGATGTATATATTATGTCACGCTCCAAGGGGGGAGGGGAGGGGTCTAAGATTTTGTAACAAGCAATGCATTAGGTATAGGAAAAACGTCACGAAAGGGGGGGAGAGGGTAATTTTTCGCTCGATTTAGCGTGACATAATTAATGCATGGGCCTGGGCCCATACATAAATTCAGCAATCGACTAAATTTTCAATATCGACCAAAACTATCCATTAGTACCGTCCCAATGACGCTTTCATCTAGATAAAATTGATAAATAGCATATTTTAAGCGATGGGCCCAATCTTAGATCCATAGGTCCATAGATCGAACATCACCTATAAAGGATTGGTTGCAATCGAATGTTCAAGTATTGGAATACCAGCATGGTTGATTTCTACGAAATTAGTCGCTAGTTAAAGAAATACGGCATTTTATTTTGTAAAGCCTGGTTAAAACCAAATCTGGACGCGGATTTAGATGTAACGCTGACTTTTGACTGTACACTGCCACACAATTATGGATCACTCGAGGGATCACTTCCACTTGATAAACACGCTAAACTTACTGATCCGTAATAATTTTAGCTGATCTTTAATTGTGGGGTAGGGTAACTGGTGAAAATTTCAACGCGTTTAAAAGTTATAGATCATGGAACTTGAAATAAAAAAAATATTCTGGTCAAACATCTTCTAGGCTTTTAATGTTTTTTGCGAGCGGTTTACTGGCTCTCAATAATATTCCAGATGTACTTTCATAGTAATTAGTTGAGAGTTTTCTATGCCAACCAACTCTAAAAATCTTCAGTCTTCTTTAGTTCATTTTCAGTTCCTCGATGATGAGTCATTTTTAGATTCACTTTTTTGAGCATTCGTTCAGGCTGGGTTTATTGATTTATTTTTTCAGCCCTTCGATGATGGAAAATCTTTGGATTTAAATCATAATTATTAACTTTTTTTCAACCTTCGTTCAGGCTAGATCTATTGAATTAAAATATTTGAGCTTATGTTCAGCTCGTCGATGATGGTACATCTTTAGATTAACTTATTTTTCAGCATTCGTTTAGGTTGAGTTTATTGATGCCTTGAGGAGTTGAGGGTTTGTAACCTTTAATCGCGCTTGTCTCTTTAATTACGGCCAAAATCTCGATTTGAGGGGTGTTTAAGTGTTCGAAATCTTTAAACGCGTTTATCTCCTTAATTAAGCCCTAAATTTAAATCGAGTCAATGAAGGGTGGAAGTTTTTGCGCGTGAATCTTCGAAATCTTAGTTCAGTATTTTTTGTATATAGAAATAACGACGCGATAAAGTTAACCTTTTTTTTTAATATGTATATATAGAGGAAATGGCTCTAATGTTGGCTTATAGATCTAAGATTGGGCCCATCACTAAAAATCTGCTATTTATCAATTTTAACTCGATGAAAGCGTCACGGTACTAATGGATATTTTTGGTCGCTATTGAAAATTTGGTCGATTGCTGAATTTATGTATGGGCCCAAATTAGGGGCAATTAAGCCGACATTACATCCATTTCCCCTTCATCGATTTTTTAAATGGTGAACATGGAAGAGCGATTGATTTTAAACTTATGAAACATTAGAAGGTCAGCTAATTACAAATCATTCGAATGAGATACACTCCAATTATTTGTTTCAATTTAATTCAATATTTACCAAATAATGTCTCAAAAATTAATTAAAGAGCTCGGCTAGCTTGGTGGATGCCACTTTTGCTTACTGATTAGAAGATCGTCTGTTTAAGACGTGTTGATCAGCAATCCATATCAAATCCTTCTTAAGAGCAGTTATTGTCGTCGTCTGAGAGGTCGTCGCCGGGACCGAAATCTAGTAACAGCATCTTGAACAGGAACTTAATCGTATTTTTTTTGGTTATAGATTTAACTGAATCGGAAATATTTTTATATGAGATAAAGCGTATTGAAATTCCGTTGGAGGAACAAGTAGGGGAATTTACGTATTCTCGGCAACTTAAGAAGCGACCGTCTTTCGATAGCCTTTTTTTAAGAAACGCACACATATGCAGTATTGATTTGCTTACAATCTTTTGCAGCCAGCTGCTCTTACAATTTCAGTCGAATGAATTGTTAAAAACTGTTTTGAAACGCTTTTACAAAGCTCCAATCTTCTCTAGTGAGATCGACTATTGTGGGCAACATCTTTTTATTCGGCAAACTTTCTATTTGAGCTAAATGTTAAACAGCTGTGCTTTCATCGGAAACTCGAAATCAGCAGCATTTTGTAGTACGTGTGTTTTATTTCAAGAAAACCTTGCTAGATTGCTTTTTCTCCGTGGTGGATTACATTTCAACAAATTGAAGCTGAAAGTCTAAAGAATCGTTTGAATACATTCAGCGAAGTGTTTTCGAAAGAGAATCCAGTGAAATTAGCGTTTCAATTTGGGTTGCCGAAAATAGTCTGTCATGCCGAAGCCGTTATTTCCCCTACGTTAAAGAAATAATATTTGAGTTTTTTTTAAAGACGTTTTGATCGGAAATATATATTAAATCCTTCTCAAGAAAAGTTTTTATCGTAGCAACAGCAAGTTGAACTTGGTCGTAACTGTTTTGTGGCATAAGGAGCTCGGTGGCCTTGTGGAGACCGATTTTGCTTGCTGAGCAAAAAATCATAAGTTCACATCATAGAGTTATACTTTTAATCGGATTTCTTTCATAATATTACGCTTTATGTAAAGAAATTTGATTTTAAGGCCGGGTACGTAAAACAAGTAACATTTGAGTTTTAGGAAAGACGTGTTGATCGGAAATCCATATCAAATCCTTCTCAAGAGCAGTTTTTGTCGTCGTCGTTCATGAAGTCGCCGCTGGGATCGAAACCTAGTATCAACAAGTTGAACGGAAACTTGATCGTAGTTGTTTTGTAATATAAGAGCTCGGTGGCCTAGTGGCGACCGATTTTGCTTACTGAGCAGAAGACCATGGATTCAATCCCACGCTCCTTCGCGCTTTTGAATCGATAGGATATCAATTCAGCACATCGCTTACCAATCCCTCCCAACCCTTTTATCCAACATCCCAGTGATTTCTCGTGGAAGTGTAAAGCGAGTATTACGTCAACATATTCCTACCCATTCCTTTCTTGACCAGAAATCGGACGTGGCCGGCACTTGCCTAGCTTTAGATCACCAGTATTTACACATTGAGGATGATTGCTAGTCCCAAGCAACGTCTATTAGTTCTCTGTGTAATTACAGCTGATCTGGCAATAACAGAGTTTCATCCACGGGCGGTCAATCATGCTCATAATCTCGCTCATAATTAGCAAGCAGTCAATAATTTGCAGTTTTATGAGCAGATATAAGTATCAGTTAATACACATGTAAATTATATGCAATCCCGGTAAAAGTTACGTGAAAAATAAAAAGCACATATGTTTTCAAGTAAATCGGACTTGAAGATTTTTCAGAGTGTACATGTTTATATTATGTGATAGCAAGCACAATGATAGGTGTCCGGCCATTTGGCCGAATGACGTTTGGCCAAACACTTGAGAAGGATTAATTTATTTTCGAATAACTCTAAATTTCTGATTAGAAATACAAAATATAGAAATGGACACATTTTTACGATCTAGGACATGAAGAATGTTTCATGATCCTTGACTTTTCTCAATTCCAAAATTTTACGTTATACTGAAGATTATAAAATGTTTCATTTGATTGTGTACAATTAAGTTTTCTACACTTTTTTGAATGTTTACTCAAAATTACAAAAATTTAAATTACCGTGTATATTTTTCCTAGAAATTGGGGAAATGTCGGCTTCGGCAATACGTAAACCTATTATCGTCATGGGGTAAACAAAGTCCTAGAGCACTCAAATTTGGCCAATAGATGTTCTGAAGCAAAATGCATCCACCAATGCCAAAATTGAGCTCTTAAGGACTTTGTTTACCCCCTGACGATAATAGAATAAGGTATTGCTGAAGTCGTCATTTATCCTACTTAATTTATTTTTGCAACTTTGTCTCAGACGTCATTTCGATCTGAAGTGACGGTTTTGTCCTACAATTAATGAAAAGATCCAAAATGGCGGAATTAAAGCACAAATGTAAATGATTGCCTATAACAAACAATTATGCAAAGTTTCATTTAATTAAGAAGGTCGAGTTTGAGCGATTGGCGTGCTGCTCATTGTTGATTAATGATTCATAACCTAGAGCATTTCCAGCTCAAAACGCAAAAAAAGCCATTTTGACCCGACCCTACCCGATTTGAATGAAGCATTGCACAGTATGGGTTGCTACCCAAGATTGCATTTAACAATTGAAAAAGGCCCATCAATATTTGTAAACAAATGGTTTGTAAGGCCTTTCATTGCAAAGCGTACACGGAGGCAAAATAACGTAAGAATTCCATTTAAGAATTTTATCCACAAGAAATCGATAGGAATTTAACCGAACCATGGAGACGTTGAGATTACGGGTCCTGTGTCTGGACCACTCGTCTGTCAACGCTTGGGAAAATGGAATGGGTAAAGGCGTATAATATACTAGACTAAAATCTTTCACAAGTCACACTTATGAATTGCATATGTCTCGTTCTTAAGTCAAGCCTTATGACATTCTTAAGCCTATTTGCATCAGTGTAGGCCGTCCACGCAAACGAACGGCATCATCAGGTAGAGCAAAGTTTCAAAATAGATCCAGTCGAACAAAAGCTGAAAGAAGTGACTACTGAATACGCTTCCTATCTCAAGAACAAATGGCTTAAGCGCCACCTCCGAAGAGGACCACTCGTCAAGGTTTGATTTTCCCGGAAAGAAACTCAACCTCAGGGCGGGTTTATGTTTTTCTTCATGTCTTCCTCAGATTTTACCTCCTTGGGATGCTTCCGTAGTGCCTGCTTCATAATAGCCCAGTATTTTTCGATGGGCCTTAGTTCCTGGGGGGGTGGGGGTTCATGTCATTGAGTACGAAAGTGACCCCGTTGGCTTCGTACCATTCCAGGACAACATTTGAATAGTGGCACAAACCTAGATCCGGCCAGAAGATCGTAGGGCCCTCATGTTGCTTCAACAGAGGAAGCAGACGCTTCAGTAGACACTCCTTGAGGTAGATCTCCCCGTTACAGTCCCGGTAGTCACGAACGGCGCACTCCGTTTGCCACATTAGCAGACAGCTCGATTGCCAAATTATATATTTCTTGGTAAACTTTGAAAGTTTCTGCTTCCTTACTTCCTCCGGAACATCAAATTTGTGCTGGGCGGTGAAGAACAGTAGCTCCGGAAGCTGCCGGAAGTCCGCCTTGACGTAAGTCTCATCATCGTTAGCATCTGGGTGTATAGTTTCCGGGCCCGAGACTTTCCCACTGTATTTTGCCGTTAGTCACGATTTGGAGATTTCTGCACTTTGTACGTATGCAGTCCCTCCTGGTCCTTGGCTATCTAAACGAAAGACTTGGACAGATTCAACTGTTTGGCCACATCCCTGACCGAAGCATTGGGATTCCGCTTAAACGCTTTCACGACACGCTTGTGATCCTGATCACTAATAGAACATCCATTCTGACCGCATTTCTCCTTCCGTTCGATGCTCAGAGTTTCGAGTAACGTTTAATCATACGACTTACCTTACTGTACGATTTCGAGTTGTTTTCCGATGTCCCGATGAGAGAGTTGAGGATTTTTCAGGTGCTTGCGCAAAATAAATTCGCGACGGTGCTTTTAGGGTGACACCATTTTGTTCACCTTTCGAAAAACTGACAGCGATAAAAATACAGTGTTAACAATACACTCTAAACTACTTGTACCTAAATTTTCAAGAGAAAATACCCAATTGGTAATTTTCAACAGCGTTTTTTCCGTGATGCAATTTGATGTGGGACATCCTTTATGTGAAGAATCTAGCCAACCAAAATTAAAATTACGGGGAAAGCATTAATTTTACGAAACCAACATTTATTGCAGGGCCAAATAACGGAAATCATTTTATGTTTTATTAGTGTTCCAAACCTAGGTTTATTCCGAGGGGGACGACTCTATCTACGATGCAGGAAATATAGTGCTTTGCTGTGGCTAGCTGCGCGTACGCTGAGTAGATAGAAAGAAGATTTATCACGATATTGAAGATTTCCTGCAAAAAGATGATGCGCGATGCAAGTAGATGCGAGAAATGAAAGAAGATTTTTCGAAGATTTATTCGCTAGTGTGAGATTTTTTGAGCATCTAGAATTGAGATTTTGATGTGTCGCCCCCCTCGGTTTATTCATACTACTTGTTCCTTTCCCATTTGTTTGTTTGTCTGCTAGCTCTCCCTAAGCGTGTGTGCGGTTTTCTGAGCTAGTTCTAGCGATTGCTAGCCTATCCTGTTATTTGTATTCGAGCTCATGTGTTTGTGTGCGTGGAGTTTCGTTTACTCACGGTACCATCCAGTGTCGTCGCTATTTCAACCTAGGTTTCAAAAGTATCGGCAAAGTATAGCATCCCTTTGTAGGAGTGAGGTTGACAAAGTACCAAATGGTGTTGCGCATTGCACCCCGGATTGGATTGGTGCAGAAGTTCCCAATTTAAACCTTCGAGTTGGTAGTAAAACTAGCGCCGATGAGATGCCGGGTGTGTTTTGTAGAACAACTTCAAAATAGAAAAAAAATCGGCAAGTCTGATATTTGCACACATGTAAGAATAGGTTTTTACCATTTGCCACCTCGATTGAAATAATCGGTCGGGGTTTTTTTAATTCTTTATTAATGAGATTTTTAGCCTATGGCTAGTTCATCTCCGGGACTAATCGGTCTGGGATCTAGAGCAACTGATTTAAAGTTTTGTTATGCATTTAATCTACACTGAGGCAAATAGACCTAAGAATTTCATAAGGCTCGACTTATGAATAACATCTATGAAATTCATTCATTCGAGACTTATGAATGATTTTCGGGTAGCATACACTGAGGCAAATAGACCTAAGAATTTGATAAGGCTCGACTTATGAACAACATATGTGAATTTCATAAGCGTGACTTATGAATGATTTTCGGGTAACATGAGGTAGCTCTTATACGCCTTCAACCATTTCATTTTCCCAAGCGTTGAAAGACGAGTGGTCATCACACGGGCCCCCTAACCTCAACGTGCATTTGCCGGTTCCAGTCTGCTCCGATTTATTATTTTTTCGTCAACATTATTTTTCATAAGGCAAATGAATGAAATTCACACTCATTTCTTATGGCTAAAATTCACAAGTGTTTCTTATGGAATTCTTACGCTCTTTTACCTGCGTGTATGGTTTTACAGTGGTAGCTTTGAACATCCAAGACATTCCCTCTTATTCTGCGAGTCATGTGACTCTCTCTCTCTCACCGGTGAGGTGACAATAGTCACCTCGTGTGAGGTGACTCTCCATTTGATTTACATGGAGAGTCACCTCACACGAGGTGACAATTGTCACCTCACCGGTGACAGAGAGTCACGTGACTCGCAGAATAAGGGGGATTGTTAGTAAGAGCCTTCATTCTCCCATTTGATTAAAAAAGGGACAGCAGATTGGTGGAAAATAATTAAAACAGAAGAGTAGTGAAACCGAGTTAAGTAGGGAAGTCGGAGGATAAGTAGACTTTTGTATTCAAGTAACAATTTTACGCTAATGTTTATTTGCGCTTAAATGTGCATTTAAATAACAAATATAGTTGAATGATCTGTTGTTCGGATTTGCTATAGTAATTAATGAAGTTTATTTAACTGCAATTGTTCAATCCGTAATAGTTTTGTATTGTCAATAGTCCCTATATGCCTTCATAGACGGCTAAGTAAACTTCAAAACACTTTTCTTAAAAAATCCAAGAAGAAATATTTTAAAACCTTCACAGCTCGGCATTTTATTTGGCTGAATCTCAGTGAAAAACTTGCCGAGATTCAGCTAACAAATGGGAATTTTGCCGAGATCTCAGTTATCAAACATAAATTTTGTTGAATCTCGGCAAGTTTTTCTCTGGCATCTAGCAAAATAAAATGCCGAGCTGCTCGGTGGTGCCCATCTCGGCAACACAATCTAAGTGTGTAGGATCAATACTAACTTCCTGTGAATGAAAAACGGAGGTACATGAAAGTTGCAAAAAAGTGCCGTCAAACATAGCGTGCCCCATTCTAACCCAAATGTTACATTGTGCAAACTTACCCGAAAAAAAAACTTTTCCGAATTTCGAGCAAACAGGATCAAGTGCGTCCATTTTCATACGGGAAATCTTCAAGAGTAAAGAAAAACTCTATCATTGAAACGCTTATCAACGGCAGCTGTATTTTGTTTACTTTGTTTGCTTAAATTTACGCGTCTCACATGGTACAATTTTAATTTTAAAAATAATATAGAAAACTAAAAGAAAAACTACGAAATATCGCCGACAGTACATTCGATGCTGATGATGCTGAAAGCCAAAGAGTCCAATTCATGTCATAATAAATAGCGGCATTCCAAAACCTTACAACAGAGAGAAAACGTATCTGCCTCTAAACAATTCACTGTCAGAACAAATAATAATAACTTAACGACGTCTATCTTGAGCTGCTGCTGCTGCTGCTGGTGGTGGGTCTTGTCAAGATTTCATATTTACACGGTGCCCGGAAGGAAGTCACGGTTGGTAACGAACGGAAGGGTGCATTTTATCGTCACTGGTGCGAAATAGTCGATGTATGAGAGAGAAAAAGAAATGAGATGAATTTCTGGACTATTTCCTTTTAATCGCTCGTCTGTTTAGTTTATTTGTTTCGATTTGCTCGTTTGAAAGAAAGAAAAAAAAAGTTACGATCCGGCCCTAGCTAGTACGTAGTTCGATTATATTGGTGGTAGATTCTTCTCCGGCGAGTTCCAAGTGTTGTAGGATGACTTAAGATTAAGTTTCGCATCTTTTGTTTTACATCAGTACAATATGTCTACTAAAAATGCATGGTTTCAATTTTTACAAGTTTCTGTTTTTTTTTGTTTTCTCATTTAATTTCTTTTTAACATTTTTTGTATAACTATCTATATTACGAAAATTTCTACTAGACTTATTCCGTTTCAAATACTAACAAAAAGTGAGTTTCTGGTGCTCGCTATTGAACGATTGTTTACTTGATTGAAGGTCGAGTGCTTGCAACATGTGATTTTTTTTCTTCTAATGAAAAATTGCTTCATCCAAACTGCTTACGATATTCGAGAAATAGTTTATTCCCCTTTTTATACAAATTTTGCGTCATAACAAATTATTCCAAGTTTACTTCTTGCGACTAAACTAACCTATAAATAAAAAAAAATGTCTTGCGACAGTTCCATCTGTCAAAGAGCTGGCTGGAGCAGTAAAATAACAAATGAAAGTTTTACAAATGGGTCCCCTAGTTCTGTTTGGGATGCTGAACTGGCGGCGGTGGGGTTGGTTTGAAGCACTGTAGTAGGAACGCCGTGTAGACGATGAATCCCATGGCAGTCGCGATGCATCCGTACATCAGAATGTTGAGTTCCGGTTGGCGGAAGCGGTTCTTCCGCAGCCACTCCAGTACGTCTTGCTCGTCGTACATGTCGCCACGGAAGATGCTCGGGAACCGCTTACGGAAGTACACGATGGCTGGCAGCTTGGTAACTCCCCATTTGCGGGCGTACCGGGGATCTCCCATTTTGACGAAGGTGATGTCCAGGTTGTCAGTTTCGCTGTCAATCAGCTCGAGCTTCTCGAGAACGGCTTCACTCTCGGCCTGGTCTTCTTCGACTGCGTGAGAGAAAGAAGAGAAGCAAAACACATGAGTATGATTTGAACAACGATTCAGAATCTAGGTATCGTCCTTACAGAAAAAGACGGCCAGAAATTCGTTTTCGTCCAGAAGTTTGTTCAGCATCTTTCTGTTGACCTCCTCAATCTCGTTCTTGATTTCGAAAACATCCTGCGATGTCAACCAGTTCATAACGCGCTGGTGATCATGCATGTCTCCATCGTACAACATTGGGTTTTGTTTCCTGAGATTGAAAAAAAAAAACATATTTTAACATGATGATCATTTTAAGTTTGACGCCATTTCGAATTATTACCTGTAGTAAACCAACGAAGGGATGGAGGTGATGCCGTACTTGTGAGCAGCGTTCAAGCTGGCGACCTTCACAAAGTCAATACCGTACTGATCAACTTCACCGTCGATCATCTCCAACTCTTCCAGGATTTCTTCGCATTCCTGGCAATCTTCGTCATCTATTCGATGGAAATTTCCAGAAGTAAGCATATGACAGCTATGTTATAATATTCGAGTTCAACTCACAGTAGAATACACAAAGCAGCGGTGACTGTTCCATCAATCTGTCCAGCATACGTTCGTTAACTTCCTCAATTTCGTCAGCCAGCTCACGGTTGTCGTCGTCGATGAGCCACTCCAGAACCGACTGTTCACTTTGCAGGTCTCCTTCGTAGAGCAGCGGATTACCGTTTCTGCAATAAAGCTCATTTTCAATTAGGTAAAAGTTGCTTATCGAAACGAAGCCAACCTGAAGTAGACCAGAGCCGGGAAGGTCTTGATCGAGTAGCGCTTAGCCAACTGCGGATCCTGAATCTTGACCATGTGGATGCCGAACACGTCCAGTTCGTCGTCGATCACTTCCAACCCTTCGAGAATCTGATCGCAAATGTTGCAATTGATCTTGTCTGAAAGTGAGTTGTTGGTGAGGGATGAGAGAGGTGAAAATGATTGCTTCGGTCGGAATTGAAGCGGGCAAATGAACAGGTGCGGTATCACAGGTGGCTGGCCACAACATCTAGAACACTGGCTTAGCGGAGTGGGCCCAGTCGGTGATGCTTTTCGCATGCAGAGGTAGTCCACAAGACAGCCGTGCGGCATTCTAGCGATGGATGACCCGTGGTTAGCGGTGTGCAATGGTGAAAGCAATCGTGCGTTGTTTGTTCGAAGTGTTCGTAACAGAGAAGTTCCACGCCAAATGACGTATCTAAAAATCTCGACCTTCTCCGATTTGCATGGAACTTGCCGTAATCATTAGCCATAACAAACAATTACGCAATGTTTCATACAACTCGGAGGAAGTCGATTCGAAAATTCATTTTTTATTTCGCTATTTTGACAGGAACTACTCAACAGTGGAAGCTTCCCATGTTGTTTTTAGAATGATATGTACAAGCTGAGTGGTGACTGTACCTAGTCTTTAACTCCACAGCAGGGTTTTGAGAAAGGGTCCTCATTCGATAAAGAATAACAAGCGAAAGGACTCTTGATTCGCCATTATAATGTATGAGCTATGAACAGGGTTTTATGTTTGGCAATATTTGAAAGTTTGACATATTGACGTTGCCCGAATGAACGTGTGACCGAATGGACGTTTGGCCAAAAAATGTAATTCATCGTATTGATATATGTTTGTTGTTTTGATCATGATTTCAATACAGGACTTAAATAATATATAAACTTATTTTATATTTATACAATGAAAATAAAAGAACACACTGAAATATCTAACTTTACACGTGGCGAAATTCATCATGACTGAGTTCGCTAGTTTATAACAACTTAACTACTCGTGTAGTTTGAGGATGGTTGTTCATTTAAAATTTTAAATACAGTTGCGAACTTGTAGTTGTCCAATACTTGATGTTGCATGTTTGCAAGTTGAGCAAATATTGCAAATATAAATGGATATTTCGATGATTTTAGGCCTAATGTAAATTCAGCTCCCACTCGGTGTTGGCACATTCCTGAGTTGAACTGAGGTAAAAATCTATTTCCGTAGACGCTAGACGCTGTTAGTTGTTGCAAAATTTAAGCTGCTAATGAGTATGTGCGTCTCTTAAAAGATGTTACACCCAATTGCATCTGACAAAATTTAACCTTAGAGTAGATTGGTGCGTCTGCTCGATCCAACTGTGTCCAACAAAAATCATTTGAGCGCCTTTGAGTGAATGCAAGAATGGTTAAGAGTTAAGCTGAGTTTAGACAAGGCAAGTCATTGATCAACTCAGTTGAATGCAATTGGCTTGAAGAGTTGGTGGTTCAACTTTTTTTTTTTCAATTCGCGAGAGTTGATAATGATTCAAATATACGTAGATAAGCATTGCCTTGACAGCATAGAGTGGCTTTATTGAGTATTCTAGGTCTTCATTGGAAACCTGGCTAGCTCGTAAAATCAGCTTCTCAGTGGAGTTTTAGTATTGTAATGTTGCTGCTATTGCAATTGAGATGGAATTAACTTACAGAATTTTGGTGGTGGAAGCGCTGCTTTTACGATTTCCCGCCAGTAAATTAGCTTTTGGTTAAGCGTATTATCCGGAATAATTTTCTTGCGTAGCTGGGTCTCAATATGTGCTCAAGGCAAAAATAATGGGATTAAAAATAAGTGCTTCGCATGTAAAATGCAGAATGATCTCCTGGGAATTTGAAGTCACCGGCAAAATACCGAAAGATGACAAATCTGGAAAAATACAAATGTTCGAAAACAATAAAATTTCAAGATCCTTGGACAGGACTAGATTTTCAGGATAAACTCACTTTGAAGAACTATTAAGAGAATTAGTTTTTTTTTTCAATACACATTTGAGCAGATTTTAGAATGAATTCTAGAGATAACATCAAGGTATTTCAAGGAATATTTTTTAGAGAACTTTAGTAAAATCCCTAAGAGAGTTTTTACTAGAACTCCCAATAGTGAAGAGGATTTCAGGATTCGTGAAAAATATCAAGAGAAGCGAATTTTGAGGGTACGACCCCGAAGTCCAAGATAATTCAGAGCAAAATTTGAAGACAATTTTCGATGGTGTTCACAGGGTAGGGGGATCACAAGTTATGCTCATAAAGCTAATAGGCAATTTTCAATTGTTGGTCGAGAATCTGAGGTGAATTGCATGGGAACTCGACGGAAAATTTCAAGCAAATTTAAAAATGGAAGCTGCAGTAAATTCTTAGAAAGAGTTTGAAAATCGAAGAAAATCTATGCACGAATTTTAAGATTTTTTTAGAGTGTTCTACAGAGAATTTCTGGACTGAAAATTTAACATTTATTGTAAAAAAACTGAAAAGAACTCTCAATCAAATAAACCCAACAAACAATTGAGAGCTCTTATAAAATACCTGAGTTGATCAAACGTTGAATAAAAGCTTTCAGAGTTGAACAAGAATGTGGTTGTATTGCCATTTGATTAAAAGTTTTAAAAGCTGTTGGAGCACTCTTAAATGATTGTTTACGTTCGGTTTAACTATATGCTTTATAAGACCTACGATAACTTTTATTTACCTTAGTTAAACCGATTGACAAGAGCTATATAGAACGTGGAATAAACGCATCAAAACAAACCATTGGGAGCTCTTATAAAACACCTGAGTTGATCAAACATTGAATAATAGGTTCCAGAGTTGTACAAGAATGTAGTTTTATTGCCATTTGGTTAAAAGCTTCAAAAGCTGCTTGGAGCACTCTTAAATGATTGTTTACGTTCGACCAACCACCAACCACAATTTTGTTGCTAAAAATAGCACAGGTGATAGGCACGTTTATATGACCATAAGGTAATGATTATTCGACTGCAAGAGAAGTCACTCAAGATGAGCTTCATATACTTATCTCATATGATCAAAATATGTATTCAAGAATAGAGCAGATGGAAACAGAAGCGTCTGGCAATCCGGGATCATGAGTTCGAATCTTGCTTCGAGAAACCCTCGGTGGAGTAGAGGTAAATTATATATAGGTGTTATTAATAAATGCAAACATTAATTTAAGACATATATCATATAATCAACGATAACATTTCTAGATAAATTCTCTCAATTAATGATTAGAGAGATTAATTGAAAGTATATCAATCAAAGATTAAACAGATGCTTGTTACTACTTCCTCCATGATCACACAATGTGAATTATGGCATAATTACATATTTTTTCAATGTGCACAAATAAATTAAATTAATAAAAACTGTACAAGCAATTATTTTGGCGTACCACGACAGTTGTTAAACTAATTTTAATCTGTGAATATTGTGAGTACTTACACAACGGTTATTAAGGAGTCATTGAAAAGTGCTATAAACGCTTTTCACTGCTTGCTGTATAGTGATTATTTAGGAGTCATAAAAGAGTGTAACAAACGCCTCTCAGGTTTCCTCTCTACTAAATTTCAAAACAGCTGTCAGGATGTGTCTACAAACGTTGTATAAGAGCTTTCACCAAAACAATAAAGCTTGACTTTAAATATGTATCTATAAACGTTGTATAAAAGTTGCTTCTACTCCTATACCGCGTATACATACAGGGTGCGTGACGAATTTTTGCAGTAAATTTCAAATAGTAATTTCTCATGCTTGTGCATCATGATTTAGATATATTTGGCAGCACTGGATAGCTTATACTGTTAGGTGTAAGATTTAAACAAACAATGTTGAGTAAACGTAAAGATGTCGAAACAAGAGAGCAATCTGTCAGCCGTTGTCGCTTTGTTGCGCGCCGGAGTATGCATGAAAGAAATAATTCGGTCGGTAAATGTGTCTGAAAGAACAGTGTATAATATTAAAAAATGCTTGGGAAAGTGATGACGGAGCACCTGCTCATACTGCTAATAAAGCACAGAAATGGCTTACGGAAAATATTTCGTAAATTTGGGAGGAAGAAATTTGGCCCCCAAGCAGTCCCGATATCAATCCGTTGGATTATTTTGTATAGGGCGTCGTCCAACGGGATACCAATAGAACCCCTCACACCACACTTAAATCGCTAAAAGCTAAAATCAAGACAGTGATGACATCTATCGATCGAAACATTTTAAAACGTGCATACTGCAGTTTCCGGAAGCGTCTAACTACAGTCGTCGAAAGGGAAGGCAATTTTTTTGAATAAATTTACTTACAACTTCCATATGTTGCGAAAGAAAATAAATCGCACAAAATTCATTGCTAGAATAACTAACTGGTGTATTTTTTCTCAAATATGCCATTTACTGCAAAAATTCGTCAAGCACCCTGTATAATGCTGTAGTTGAACAGGTTCTCCAAACCAGTGTAAACAAGAGTTTTACAGAAGTTGTAATAAACAAATTGTACAGTCATTATTCAGCATGCAGTTGAATAAAATCACAATGGAAGCGTTTCTTCAACAAGAAATTGATTTTGGGTAAACGTTTTACTGAATACAGTTGCAGTTGTATAAAGGGTGATACGGTCAAAATTTGGTCAAGGGAAAACGCGTGTAAATCGGTGAAATCGTTTATTTAAAAAATCAAATTAAATTTCTTTTTCAAGTTCAATTAGTATAAAATTTAGAAAAAATATTCAGTTAGGCTTCCGCTTTTCCAAATCCGAATTGCCGGGCCTTACGCTTGACCCCTGCCATCAGATTTTGTACAGCCACCTTGTCCACCTTCTTCGCCGCAGAAAGCCAGTTAGCCTTGAACTGCTGCTCGCCCTTAGCAGTTTTTTTGGTCTTCTTTAGGTTCCGCTTGACAATAGCCCAGTATTTCTCAATTGGGCGGAGATCTGGCGTGTTGGAAGGGTTCTTGTCGTTGGAAACCACCTGCACGTTGTTGGCGGCGTACCACTCCATGGCCTTTTTACCGTAATGGCAAGATGCCAAATCCGGCCAAAACAATACGGAACAACCGTGTTTCTTCAGGAAAGGCAGCAGACGTTTATTCAAACACTCTTTAACGTAAAT